ACATTTGAAATATTGGTTTGAAGTCAAGAGTAGGAAGGGTACTTGCTAATTTTAATTCGTGATTCAATGTAATTTTGAGTCTTCTTATGTCTAGAGGTTGTGTGCAGGCAAGATTATAGATACTAGGAATTGGACTTGAACGATAAGCGCCGATTGACATACGGAGACCTGAGTTGTGGATTGTATCTAGTTTCTTTGATATTGATTTATGTGCCGTTGTCCAAATGAAGGATCCGTAATCGAATTTAGAAAGTATAAGTGACTTGTATATTGTTAATAGAACATGAGTTTTAGAACCCCATGATGTGTGGGATAACATTTTTATAACATTGAGACGTGGAGAAATTGAGTTTTTCAAGGAGTTGATGTGGTGGGTCCAGGAACATTTTCTGTCGAATATGATGCCGAGGATTTTAATTGTATTATTATTTATTAGTTGGTATTCACCCATTTTTATGTTTATAGCGTTTTGATTGCGCCTACGTGTAAACACAGTGCATTGTGATTTTTCAGGAGAGAAAGTGAAGCCAGATGTATGGGTCCATTTAAGCAGATTGTTGATGGCTTGTTGTAGGTGGGTTTGGACGGTTGCTAAGTTCTTGCTTCGGCAGTAAATATTAAAGTCATCCGCGAAGAGTGTAGAATGGACAGGTGGAGAAATGTTCTGTGTGATATTGTTGATGGCTATGAGGAAGAGCGTAACCGAAATTGAAGATCCTTGAGGGACTCCGTTAGCCTGTGAGAAAGTCTTGGATAGAGTTTGGTTGATTCTTACTTGAAATGTTCTTGTTTTAAGAAAGTTACTAATAAAATTGAACATTTGGTTTTGGCTTAGTACTTTAGTGAGACTGTTTAAAATGTGCGGTTTCCATGTTGTATCGTAGGCTTTCATCAAATCGAGACTGATCATACCTAAGTATTGATTTTCGGAGTATGTGTTTTGTATTTCTGCGTGAATTTTGGAAAGGCAGTTATATGTACCTTTATTTTTCCGGAACCCGCATTGTTCGGGGGTGAGATAATAAGACTGTTCTAAAAACCATATTAAACGTTGGTTTACAATTTTCTCTAGGAGTTTACACAAGGTATTTAAAAGTGAAATGGGTCGGTAGCCATCAGTTGAGAATTTGTTTTTTCCTGGTTTGCTTATCGGTATGATGATACTGTTTCTCCAATTTTGTGGAAATACGTTGTTGTTCCAGATGGTATTGTATATTTTTAGGAGTATTTTAAGTGTGTCGATTGTAAAGTTTTGAATAAAGCTATAAGGGATATTGTCTGGTCCGGTACTTTTGCTGGTACATTTTTTGAGAGTTTTCAAAACTTCATTAATTGTTATAGGGCTGTTTAAGTAAGACTGATTAGTATTTTGGGGCGATATTACGGAGGGTTGAGGTGATGGTATGTTTTCGTTTTCCCTTAAGAAGTCGTGGCTGTACATTTCATTGCTGGAGTTTTTTTCGAAATATTTTCCAAGGTGGTGGGCAATTGAAGATGGATCGGTGTTTAAAGATGAGTTTGTGGAGAGATAGATATTACTGTGCTTTTTCCGTCCCTGTAATGAACGGATTTTGTTCCACATAATGTGGGGATCAACCTGGGCACCTATTTCGGAGGTGAAGTTTCGCCATGTTAGAGTTTTATTACTTTTGACCAAGAATCTTGTTTTTGCTCTGAGTTCTTTTAGTTTTATATGGTCCTCGAGTGATCTGGTTTTTATAAATGTTTTCAGTGCTTTATTTTTTTGTGATATATATTGTTTAATTTCATTGTTCCACCACGGAACCGGTGTTTTTTTGGAGGGGGGTTTCAAGTAGCCTATTGTTTGTTCTGCAGTCTCTATGATGATTTCAGTGAATTTGGATACTGTTTTTTCGATATCTATATCTTCATCCGTGAATTCTGACGCGTTGATTTTTGTTTCCAGAAGGTTTGCGAATAGAGGCCAGTCAGGGTTTTTGAGGTTCCATTTTGTTGTAGAGTAGTTTGTTTGAAGTGCATTGGAAATGAATTGTATAGAGATTGGGAGATGGTCACTATTGTATATTTCATTTAATACTTGCCAGTGTAATCTTTGTGCTATGGTAGGTGTAGAGAACGTTAAATCGATAGCTGAAAGGTTTCTGTTCGAGGGATTTATTCTAGTTTGCTCGTTGTTATTAAGTATTACGATGTTATCTTGTTCCAATAATTTTTCTATTATTTTTCCTCTTGAATCGGTTTTATATGAACCCCATGAAATACTGTGGCTGTTAAAGTCCCCGACAATAATAAAGGGACGTGGTAATTGTTTGATAATATTTTCTAAATCTATGAGTGTGAAGTTGAATTGATTTGGGATGTAGATATTACAGAGGGTGGTTTTTGTTTCGAGTGTGATTGATATTGCGACGGCTTCTATGTTTGAATGGATAGGGATTTCCTCCCAAGGAAATGAGTTATTGATGAGTATGCAGACACCACCGCTTGCCCTCAGACAGCCTCTACGGTTTTTAGTTGCATATTGGTAGTTATTTATATAAGGTGGAGATTCGTCATATTTAAGGTTAGTCTCTTGAAGACATATTGCAATAGGTTGATGTAAGTTTATTATAAGTTTAATTTCATCGATGTTTTTATGGAGTCCATTGAGGTTCCATTGTATAATATTTTTTGGTTGTGACTGCATTTGGAGTTTGTAAAGATGATTATTATATAATTTTGAGAAGATGATTTTTTAATTATTTGCTTTATTTATTATTTATACTGAAGAGGGATTGCGTATTCATAATGACTCGAGATATGAGTTACATAGTCTCGTGAGCCTGTTTTTAATCGAGAGGTTTTTTATTTTCGGACGAATCGTGTCTAATATTTCAATCATTTCCATCGGGGTTATGTTAAATTGGTTTAGAATATTAGAGGGATGATCCACGCTGAGGGAGTTTTCAATAATGTATTTGAGCTGATTGAAGTCTATTTTACGGTTGGGGATTCCTTCAAAAGCAGTTATGGCTGGGGCTAGTGTTTCGTCCAGTTTAGCTACTATTAGTTCTATGGAGTTGGAGCGTTTAATTTTTTTGTTGGCGGGTTGGGGATTTTTCTTGGATTTTTCGGTGGTAGGCTTGCTTATATTTGTGCTCTTAATTGGTGTTAGGGGTGCATTATGTGTTATTCCTGCATTTGTTTTTTTTTTTTCGTTGGATTGGGATTCTAATAGCTTTGTTGTGAGGATGCTATTATTGATTTGATGGTTTTGAGTTTCCGTAGGTGTTGTTGATGACGTGTTTATAGGGTTCTCAGTGGTGGATGCATTGTCGGTGTCGCTGGTGCTGGCGTATGATGAGATAGGTCTTTTAATGTGGTCAGCTGGTTCTTGAAGGGGAGTCAGCTTGTTGACAGATTGTTGATAATTGTTTTCGATACTATGATTTATGTTAGTATGGTCCATGGTATTTTGATCATTTTGTGAGTTATTATCTTTTTCGATTTCTTTGTTTTCTGGCGGAGGAGGGATATTGCTATTAGTTGAGATCGTATTATCCAAATCTTTTTTGCAGTGGTTTGAGGTGTGACCAGTTTGTTTGCAGATATAGCATAACACGGTGTCGTTGTTATATTGTTATTGTTTATTATAGCTTTTAAGTTGAATTGATACTATACTAAGCGTTAGAAATTATAATCGTATTCTTAGTGGTGTTTTGTAATTTTCTAAACGATAAGATTCTATGATATTATGTTGAAATCATTAACTCCTTCTGGTAATCCTTAGAAACCATTAATAATGTTATTATCAAAATAATTGTTTGGCAACCTTGCTTATAAGAAAGTTAGAGAGCGATTTCACTTGGATCGTGTACGGTTCATTTATTTTTTTTTTGTTGATAAATGTCAATACAAAATTATTCGTTCGATCGAAAACATAATACACAAAGTTCCTTATAAGTGTTTATTATAGATATTAAGAACCCTCGACGTTTTGTAGCACGATTTATTTTTATAGACATTTAAAGTTAGTTTCTTGATGAAATCACGAACATTAATTGTAAATAATTTTGTAAAAGTGTATCAATTCATGTCAAATTTGTATAGCTAAAGCTGGAAATTGTAACTCATGGTTCTCATTTGTAGGTCAGACTGTAAACAAAAAATTCATTTAATTTTAGGATAATAGTTAGGTTAGGTGGTTACCTACCCACTTATTTTTACTAATGGACATATCAATTTAATATAAAATATCCACACCAATGTATTTTCATAAACATAAATAGGTACATATTATGTTTTTATTTTTAGTAGTTACTTTGTAGGAACTTGTTATTGTTAATATATTGGTACCCTATTAGTTGTTAGATATCCATTGATGTATAATTAAATTCTTAAACAATAATCATTCAATCACTCATTCATCTCAAAAACTACAAAACGTCCGTACCTACTTAAAATTTGGAATAGTGGTTCCTGTAATTATCTAGATGTGTCATATGAATGGATTATCCAATTAAAAATCCAAAAAATACACTAAACAAATTAAAGCACATATAAAGTGCACATAGTTTTTTTATTTTAATGAAGTTTTGTACCAAAAAATATTTCTTAATTAAATTTAATAAACAGTTTTTCAGAACTGTACAATTTCTAACATCCTACTTTGACTTTGATGATCTGAAAAAATAATTATTCTCATTTAATTTTCGGTCATCATATTTTGTAATCTTGATTTTTACATCACATGGATTAGTTTGAAAAATTACTATTCATAATATTTTATCAAGTAAATTGTTTGCTATCACTGTACAAAACAACTTTTTTTTTTAAATATTTTCAATAAATTGTTTTAATAAAACCAGTGTATAGTGTTAAGTTTGCTTAGAGTCGAACAATACTTTAAAAAATTTAAAAAATACAAAATAAAACTTCTTATGTTATGATTAAAAAAAAACATTTAAGTATAATAAATATATTATACACGATTGTCACGGATCTAGCTTTGTAAATAAACCAAAAATCTAAATCCCACCCTATTTATAATATTTCGGCACCCCAGCTGTGGACGAATCCTCGATTTGGCACTCGTTCGTGCCTCTCCGTATTTTGAAATATCCTCCGTCTCCCCAAGTTTTATTCCACGAGTTCATCATCAGCCAATAGGACACGTTCCTTTCGACTCCCCATCCGATGCACTTAACGGAATGGCCTCCCAAATACTTGGCGTTGGGCGATTTGGAGTATACACCTGAAACCAGTTTTTGAATATTATTGAGATGAGATTTTGGTGTAGTAAAACGTGCACTTGTAAAAAAATATTAGAGTAGTGTTCAAACAAGGCATTTAACACAACAACACTTTTATTGTTATGCATTAACCTATTATTCGAATGGGAACTTTCAAAACCTTTTTTTAAACACATTTATAATAATATTTTTAAATTCTGAGCTATATGAATGCATTGATTTTAGAATGATGTGTGTACTGGTGGCACTCTTCTCATATATAAAAAAATAGGTCACTGTATAATGGATGGTATTAAATTTGAATTCAATGATATAATATCATTATATAAGAAAAATGATTCTGAGCGGAGATGGCATGTCAGTCTAGGTATAAGACATATTATATACTTATCTATGGTAGGTATTGAAAAAAAATATTACCTATAATAGGTACCTATGAAAAATTCCAAATTAATGATATCACAATATTATTGTAAATATATTATTAGGTACTTATAACGCGTTACACATCAACAACAAACAGTAATACTCTAATAGATAATATATAATAGTATACTTTAGAAGTTTCAAGTACCCACGAATAATATTATACAATTACAACAAAATAACTAAAATAGTGTTATTCTAGGTTTTTTATTATGTAATTTCGTCCAAATTTGAACTTAAAATGACACTAAAAATAAACTTTAATTATATATTTTTTAGATTTTTTGGTAACAGAATTAACTACTTACGTGGAATCTTATAATAAATTTTCAATCCTTAGATATAAAAGTTGAACATTTTATAAATTTTTAACTACAAAATATTTATTCAATTTTAAATTTGATACATTTTGTCAAAATTCGATCTTTAAATGCTTATAAAAAAAAAATTGTGCCTATATATTTTTAATATCTTTCAACTGATATTGAAACAATATATCAGGAGCCTTGTATTAAATTTTTACACTTTTGGCATAACAGATAAAACTTTATTGATATTTATAGAAAAATAAACTAAAAGAATTGAAAACTGAAAATGTCCGTAAATAGCTCAAAAAATGTGAAAATATTTTGAAAATTGTATGGTGTATATGAAATGCTAATATAAATATTCAGTGAAATTTTCATGTATCTACAATTATTTGTTTTTGAATTACAACAAAATAAGGAAATCGCTACATGAGAAATCGAGTGAATATCCATTGTTGTAAAAATTTGAATTTCAAACCCTCATAAAAATTTAATTTGACTTTCTTATAGACATTTTTTTTTTTTTTAATAAAGGTAGATAATCTTATAAGGAATCTTGTATTACATTTTCATATCTTAGATTTAAAACGAAACATTTTTCGTGATTTTTCCATATTTTGTCAGTTTTTGAACTTTAAATGTTTATAAAAAATAACTGTGACTAATAAGGATTTTTAATATTTTTCATCTGCCTTTAAAACAATATACTATGAGCATTTTATTAAATTTTCAAGCTTTTTTTAACCAACAAATAAAATTTTATTGATATTTTTAGAAAAAAAACTAAAAAAAAGATTGAAAATGAAAATGTCCCTAAACAGTTCAAAGTAAATCAAAATATTTTGAAAATATTATTGTGTATAGAAAATGCAAATATATACAATCAGTGAAAATTTCATATATCTACCGTAATTTTTTTTAAAGTTACACCAAAAACCAAATTCAATTTTGTAAATATCGATTTTGGGTAAAAATTCCCGTTTTTCTTGGCGCTTTTAAATATAACTGTGAATTTTAAATTTTGACCTCCCCAATGCATCAACGATACTCACTTTACAATCGAAAAAGATACTGAAGTTGAAAATCGAAGCAATATTTTGATTACTTTTCATGTACACAGACACAAAAATTAAAAATTAAAAATTAAAAAAAAAAAAAACCGCATCATTGTAAAATCAATACATTCATCGTTCCACTCAGTATCTAAAATACTCTGTTCGTCATCTCTGATGAAGGTTTCTGTCTTTTGGTAGGATACTGTATCTAGTTGGTGATTTCAGTACTTTCATTTTTAATAATTTTCAGATCTTTATTAAAACAATTAGGAGGAAAAAAAAATTGTGAGAGCATAACAAAAATCGGGTAGATGGGTGTCGCTCTACTGTACAGTAGATTACAAGTAGTTCAATGAGCAATGGATTGTATTAAACTTGAACTCAATGATATAATATCATTGTATAAGAAAAAAAGTCTGAGCAGAGGCGGTTCGTCAGTCTGGATATTTTATATTGCTATTATTTATTATAGCTTGTAAGTTGAATTGATATTTTTTATTATTTTCAATGGTGATAAACACAGAGTTAGAAATTAAAATCGCATTTTTGGTGGTTTTTCCCGGCATTAAATAACTCTATTGATAAAATCGGAAAATTACCTCTTTAAAGTACCATCTTGATACAATTTTTTATAAGATAAGGTACTATACATATATTGAAATCGAAGCACTCCTTTTGGTAGAAATGTTGTAAAACTACTAATATTGTTATTATTAAAATAATTGTTTGGTAATCTTGCTTATAAGAAAGGTAGAGAGCGATTTCACTTGGCTCGTGTACGGTTCAATTAATTTTTTTTTGATAAATGTCAATACAAAATTATTCGTTCGGTTAAAATCGAAAACTTAAAACACAAGGTACCTTATAAGTGTTTATTATAGATATTAAAAACCCTCGACATTTAGTGGCACGATTTATTTTTATGAGCATTTAAAGTTAGTTTCTTGATGAAATCACGAACATTGATTGTAAATAATTTTGTAGTTAAAAATGTATTAATTAATGACAAATTTGTATAGCTCAAGCTGGAATTTGTAACTCATGGTTCTCGTTAGTAGTTCATACTGTAACCAAAAAATCCATTTAATTTTAAGATAATAGTTAGGCTAGGTTACTTACCCACTTATTTTTACTTATAGACATATTATAATATATTATTATAAAATATCCACATCTCCTCCAAAATACATATTATGTTTTTATTTTTAGTAGTTACTTTATAGAAACTTGTTATTGTTAATATATAGGTAGGTAGGTACTTTATTTATCCATTGATATATTATTACATTTTTAAACAATTTTCAATCACATAATATTATACAGTTGATAAAAGTTTAGTAGTTCAAAACAAATTTAAGTTGTTATTGCTTTGGTGATGATCGTTTGTTTTTACATTAATTCCAAATATTTTATATCCAAAGTGTATAAATAGGTTAGGTTAGGTACAGTAAAATTGTATATAAAATGCACTCAAATACTTTTTGATATATTATAGTAGTTATTAAATAATTGGAAAACTATTTGTATACCAACAAATCAATGGGTACATATTATTATTTTTTATTAATATTGAATTTATACCTGACTTGTACGATATAAAGTCGTCGTACACGTCAAAAGATGACTCGATTGGTCCGTAAGTCATTATGTCATTTTGTATGTTATCGTAGGCCAGGACATATGGCGATCCTTTAACTATAAATGAAAAGAAAAATATAATGTGTTGCTAAAATATCATATTTTAAAAATATTAAGTGATACCAATGATAACTCCTTAAATAGTTAAATGACATGAAATATTATATTAGGTTTTTGAAAGTATGGTCTTCAAAAATACTTAAAAATACCAAAAACTAGTATTTTACATTGTCAGAGGATTATTATAGGGGATTAGCGTGGATGGTGATTCCGACAGTATGTAAAATATAATAAATACTTACCACATTTTCAGATAAAAATAAATTATGTATCTTTCGTATTACAAATTATAATGTGTTTTCATTTTGTTATGCGTTTCTATCACAATGGGTTATTTATTGAAAAATGAACCCTAACATGTACCTATTGTACCTATTTATAAATTTTATGAGAAAATTGAATTCATGATATTATAATACAAGGTGATCAATTCAAAAGTTTCTACAATCGAAATATCAAAAAGTCTTAACTTTTCTGAAAGTATTATTTTTAGTATTTTTACATATTAAATATAGTCGTACGAAAGACATACGAACAGTGTTAAATGTCATCCGGAATTCCTGAGTGTGGCAAGCTGTTCTGCTTGTGTGTGTTTTATATATAATATCCTGACAATATTATTGTATATGTTTATGTGTACCCGAATGACTATAATATGTCTATAAGGCAATTCCACATTACACATTATCAATAATTATGTTTATACTTCTACTTAATACTTATATTCATATATGCCTGATACTTCTTCCTAGCAGGGCTTTCAAACGTTATAATAACGTTATGATATTTAACGTTATATTTGACAAAAAATGATTGAAATTTGTAAACGTAGTTATAACGGAAAGCGATTATCAAAAATTATTAAATACCACAAAATCATTAAGATGATTACCAAATATATAGAATATCATTGAACAAAAAATAACACAAACGAAATATTTTAAAATCTATTTATTTGAAAGGTCTATTGGTTTCGTAGAAACATTTATTTCATGCAAAAAATCTAAGAATTGATTGTACCTATTATATTCCGTATCCCATTATCCGTTCCATTACCAACACGCATTAGTTGTAATTTTTAAATATAATAAGTACCAACACTATTTTAAATAACTATAAACCCAAAAATTGAATAACGTTTTAATTGTAAATAACATAAAACGGAATTATTTTTTCAAATGCAAGCTCCTCTGCTTCCTAGTTTAGAATATCTAACTTTTCACAACAATATCTTGAACATAATTTATTGAGAGGTCATTATATTATTATAAAAAAAAAAATGTTTTCGTCACAAAATAATTTTACCATATCTGAGATCGTCCTTATAGGAAATCGATGTATTTCCGTAGCATTGTTTTTGGCATTTGTGATTTTTTTCCGATTGACCGCTACAAGAGTTGCTTCCCGTGCACGGTGGAAACAAGTACGGCTGACATCCCTAGAAACATTTTTGGAATTTTCCGAATGTAAGGTAATTGACAGTCTCGAGGTGGAACATTCAATTCACTAAATCGGGTATGTCCATTATCCTTCACTGTCTTTTTTCCTCTACAAAAAACTAGGTTATAGTTTACATTTCTGGAGAAACGTTGTATATAACCGCCCAATTTATTTTGTCAATATAATATTATGACTTAAAAATATAAACATTACATTGTTAACCCCTTAGTGTAGGGAAATAGAGAAGATTTTTTTTTTGTTCAGAAATTGGACAGTGGACGAAAATGGTACATCTCATGATTTTTGGGAAATGGCTACGTTAACTAATTTAAGTTATTTTAGTTCAAACCATGTATAATAATATTATGATAACTATAATTGTTATCTACGTTTTCTATTATCATATTGTTTTACTTCAAACGAGTTAAAGTTTCCTCCAGTGACCAGACCGTTTTTAATGTAATATCGCCAAGCTCTGATCGGATAACCTCCTTGACAACCTAAACCGCACTGGTAACAACAAGACGTCACGTGTTCAGCCGATAAAAGTTGATTGAATGATCCGTTCGACGCTATGCACAAACGGTCGGCAAAAGCTCCGGAAGTACTGAACGCCTATCGCGATCGGACAGACATTTTTTTATGCACATTTGTCACGAATAATTCAATTAAATTATGGTCTAAAATATAATAACTCACCCAACAAGACCCGCAATTGCCTTGATCGCGAATCGTCCCGATCGTCTTACAGTTCCTCCATCGTTTTCTAGCATCAAATTCTTTGGGAATACTTCCGGCATAGCTGTACAGTGGGTCATGTGACTTAAACGGACCCGCCGAAGATACCTCCACGCCTTTTGAGCCCAAAAGTCCCAATACGAATTTCAAAGGTGTTTCCGGATGAAAGTTGATGCCAGCCTGAATGATATAACAACAACAACCACAATAAGAGTTTAACATTAGGGCGTATTATATACCTTTTATTTTTTCATAACTATAGGGTCTGGATTTAAATTCACTAAATCTATCAACAACCAAAAGTACCCTAAACAATTATGTTTGTAAAGTTAGCCCCCCAACTTTGTTTTTATTTTCAAATTTATGAATTGTAATTTAAAGTACTCTATTTGTAAGTAAATGTAAGTTGATCTTCAGAATTTGTAAGTTCATGGGAACTAAGTTATGGTCGTTTATAACTTGGAGGGCTAACTTCACAAACATAAATTATGCCCTTAAAAAATTGTGTTTACAGTCACAAAACTACGGTTGCGATGGAAAATTACTGTTTAGTTTCAAAATTCATAATATTTCTTTACCTTGACTAAGCTAACAATAACACTAAAAATTAATAAAATTAATAAAACTACTAGAAATAGAAAAACATCGACAATTGCAAAATAAATGTTTATATCTATGAAGTATTAAGTATCTGTTACATAGGTACTTACATGCAATTATTTATATACATGGAATACGGTAAACGGAAAAAAAGTCCGGGAAAAAGAGGATGTTTTTATCACCTGTGTCAAAACACGTACCGAAAAATACAAAATCTAGGGTTACAGAAGTTGTATACAAATAACAATAGTTTTAGTCATTTTTGCGGAATGTTAGATGGACTAGCTTTTTTACCATTACACGAAATTTATGAAGGTATGAACTATTTAAAAATTGTTGTTCCACCAGAAGCTAATGAGTTACTGGAGTACTCTGGGACTTTTTTTTCCGTTTATTCGGACTTTTTTTCCCGGACTTTTTTTCCCCGGACTTTTTTTCTTAATATCATGGAATACATACATCATTCTAGAGCACTCAAAGAAGAAGGGATTTTCGACTGAATTCCGGTTCGTATCGATTACCGATATAATGGAATTTAGAATTTATTGAATTAATGATAAATAACAAAATCCCATAGACGTAATATTATAATAAAATTTGCAATCGAAGTTATGACTAATTGTGTTGCTGTGAGAGTGTATGACTAACCTCAAGTTAATAAAATATAATGACTTAAATTTACGACTCAGGAATGACTCAAGGCATTAATCGTCGGATTATTTTTGTCAATAAAGTTTCGCAATACCTATTAAGCCTGACTAATACTATAAATTGTAAACGGGTTGTTTAGAAAGACAATTTATTTTAACGTATATTTAGATATTTTATAACTGCATATGAATTTTAAAGGTATTTTTAATGGTCTAATTTTCTTATGGGCCGATACTAGCAATATTAATAGACAAAAAATAATAGTATAGGTAACTTAATTTAATAAAAAAAATAAAAAAAAAATGCATTCAATTTTGATTTCAGAGGTGCTTGCACCTCAATACGTTAGGTTTGGTAATCGGTCAAAAAGTCCGGTATGAAAAAAGTTTGACAAAAAGTCCAGATTCATTTTTTGATTGCCGGACAAAAAGTCCGAGTACATTTTTACTGTCGGTCAAAGAGTCCGAAAATACAAAATTGTCTATAAAATGTATAATTATAATAGTAGGTACTATATATGTATTATATACATGTAAATATGTAATATTATGTAATATAGTCAGTTCGTATATGTATAATTAATATTTATTTATTTTTTTTTTTTACGTGATATCGAGGACCGGAGAAGGAACCAATTTTGCCAATACTTCTCCTCAAATTAATATTTATTTTAAAAATGTAATTGTTGTACTTTTATTCGATTCGAGCGTGAAAATGATGTGACAACTCGATTCGTATGAGAAAAAATACAACTTGACCATTTATTTTTATATTTAAGATAATGTTCTATGAATAATATGCATAAACCCAGATTTTTAAGATGGAAAAAAAATTTCAAATAAATCTTCATTGGGCCATCTCACTGAGTACGTATATAGGTACTAAATATACCTCATCCATTTCAGAAACACAATGTATACCTAATTCATATTTATATATTTAATTAAATTTTTTAAATAAATATAAATTATACATGAACTGACTATATAATATAATATTACATGTATATAATAAATAATACATATATAGTATTAGGTATATTATAATTATACATTTTATAGACAATTTTGTAATTTCGGACTTTTTGTTCGGCAATCAAAAAATAACTCCGGACTTTTTGTCCCCGGACTTTTCGTCCGGAATTCGTTAGGTTTCTGTCACAAATAAATCAATAAAATTGATACATATTATTTAAGTTGATACTTTGAGCTTGAAATGCTTGAGGTACTAAACTGACGGTGAAATCGATAAAAGTAGTTTGTGAGATGAAAAGCCATACCAAAATTATAATTTATATTGAAGAAAGATTATCAAAATTATAATCGTTTTAGATTCTGAGTGAAACGATGAATTTATTGATTTTACAATGATTTGTGTTTTTTTATTTTTGTGACTGTGTAGGTACACGATAAGTAGTCGAAATAATGCTTCGATTTTCAACTTCAGTATCTTGTTCGATGGGAAGTGAATATTGAGGAGGTCAACATTTAAAATTCCCAATAGTTTTCAAAAGCACAAAATAAAAATTAAGGAAAACCCGGAATTTTTACGCAAAATCGGTTTTATAAAAAAATCGATTTTGGTTTTTGGTGTAACTTTAAAACAAATAATAGTAGACAAATACAATTTTCACTGGTTGTTTATTTTTGCGTTTTCTATACACTATCAAAATATTATGATTTGTTTTGAACGGTTCAGGAACATTTTCATTTTCCATTTTTTTTTTGTTTTTTTTCAAAAAATATCAATTAAATTTTATTTATTTATTAAAAAAGCTTGAAAATTTAATAGAAGGCTCCTAGTATATTGTTTCAAAAGCTTTTCAAAAACTTTCTTTTTTTCAGATTACCTTCATTCTTTATTTTTATTTTTATTTTTTTTTATTTGCTTTGTCGGCAAATTAAGTCTTTCAAATTAGTACCTATATGAGTTAAGTTAGTATAAGTTTGTTTCATAAGTTGTTGACTGTTTTTATCTTTTACCATTGTATTCCTTGTGTCTATTATGATGTATTTTAAAAAGCCGCTCGGCGTTAATTATAATATTAAGTAAATAAGTAAATAAATACAAATTGTATAACATAATATTTATATTGTTATTATTAATACGGTAGCCGTTAAGTTTAATTAATATTATTTGCATATAATTATCATATTCCTATATTCGTACATAATAATATACCTGAGAAATTTCAAGTAACTAAAAATTATATTTTTAAATTACAAAAAAATGTCTATAAAAAAAAAAAATGTGTTTTAAATTGTTTTAGATATTTCGGTCACAAAATAACCAACTTACGTGGAACGTTGTCTTTTTAAAGATATGTGTTTTTATATGTGTTCATATGTTGATGAAATTGGATATTTAAACGAAAAATATGATTTTTCCATTTACGATTTATGTTATTTTCTTGTAATTGAAACTTTTTGACATTACGTACACATATTTATTATTATCATCGATACAAAGTGATATTTTCGAAATATTGAGGACTATTTCAACCTATTTTATCCATGGTCTATTCATACCGTTCTTAGTTACTTCACGACGGGTATATTAATAAAAACAATAAATATTAAATATTACCATCTTAATCTATTACCCGTTAACACTTTCCAAACTTAATTTCACTTGATTTTTATACTCCATCTCCGTTCAAATAAAAAATTCTCACTTCCATTTCGCTCCACTAATTATTACGAACTTAATGAGTCTATAATATAATCTACCACTTTATGTCTATTGCTAGTACATACTTAATCCCTTCTTTCTATTGTATTTAAAATTGTTTCACATTTGTTTTTAATTTAAGTTATTTAACCTATTATTTGGAGACTGCGTTAAATACGCCTCGTCATTATTTTTTTTTCACTTTAAATTGGTTATTATTGAAATGACGCCTCAATGTCTTTGTGAAATACAGTGTGACCTCCCATAACGGACACTCCCGAATAGCAGACAAATTGGCAAAAGTTTGTTTCCTAGTTTAAATACTTATATAGTATAAAAATACATAATTACTATAAAATACATGATTTGTAATTTTTTTGGAAAAAAATCGGTTCAATAATATTAATTATAATTATACCATATTACCAAGACAAAAATCAATTACTGTAAATTTTGTGTAAAGGATAATCCAAAAAAAAAATAATTATTAATTTTATTATAATATAAAAATGTTTACCATTGTAAAATGTCACATCTATTTTGCTCCACTAATTATGACGAACTTGATTAGTAGGTATAGGAAAACTCAATTAAAAATGATGTATTTACTAAAACTACGACCTTCTTCTATTTGTTTTTAAATTTTTTTTCTTTTGTATATAATTTATCCTATATTTTGCTCTGCTTACCTATTTACTTGTCTCGTCTTTTTTTGTTTCATGTTAAATGGCTTTTTATTAAAGTCGACGTCATAATATCATTGTAAAATACTATACCTGTTGAATGATCATAAATGCATGTTTTTTATATAATATAATTAAATACAATATTAGCATATAATTATATAATATTATATGTATGACTAGGGACTTATAGGATTTAGCATGTTTTTCAATACCTAGGTAATCATTTAAAAAGGTAGGTATAAGTTTTATAGAAATTTGTTTCGTATTAGGTAGGTACCTTGTTTAAGAAAATTTATTTTATTTTGCATATTAACCTTTTTTTGTCCATGTATATTTTTATAATGTATTTATGCATTATACTAAAATACAATATACATTACATATGATATATTATTTGTATATTGTATTTCATCTTTACTTAGTTATTATATATTATTTAATATGATTTTTTTAGAAATTATAAGAAAAATCAACTAAAATGATAGATTTTTATTTTACCAACATTTTCTGGTGAAAGATAATTATCGCTCATTTACGTTTGAGAAACTGCAGTCACACCACACAATTAATCCTTTGGCAAAGAGTTTAATAACTATTCAATCATAAACACAATATGGATTTATAAATGAAAATTTTGGTTTTTTTTTTTATTTGTTTAAATACAAGCATTAAAAAAAAAAAAGATTGAGGAATAAAAATAAATACGCGTTAATTTTAATTTAAAAATATATGTATATATTTGAAAGGATTTATTTAAGACATTTTGCATATTATTCAATAGTGTATGGTAAATTCTTAGGGAATAAAATAATGCATTTTTTAAGGAGTTTTGGAGCATGAAGTCCCCAACCCTAATTATTGTGGGTATACGATATTTTTGGTAAAACCGGTTAAACATACCGTATTACCAAGACGAAAATCAATTACAAATACAAAATAAATAAATTATAATAATAAACAAAAAATACCTAATTATGTTTGAAACAAATGAAGTAAAAACATATAAATTTAAAGAATTCCAAAATAAAATATAATTGATATTTAAAAAAAACTTGGCTATTCGTTATAATCGACTTAAGAAACAATTAGACATAAGACCAAAAAATTAAAATTTTATATTTTAATACATTTAAAAAAAAAAAAAAAGGTGAGGTATGGAAATGCTACCTTCCAAAAATGTATTGATGGAAAATAAATAATATTAAATATACTATATACTTGAATCACTAGTACAAGACTGTTTCTTATATAATATAAGTATTAAAAAAAGGCAGGTAAGTGGATGTCGCTCAGCTGTACAGTAGGTTACAAGTTGGTCATTGTGTAATGGATTGTATTAAACTTGAATTCAATGATATAATATCATTGTATAAGAAAAACGATTCTGAACGGAGATGGTTTGTCAGTCTGTATATTTTATATTGTCATTAATTATTTTATTTATTTAATTATTATTTTTTTTATTCGTTGCTACGGTGATAAACAAATTGTTAGAAATTAAAATCCCATTTTAAGCGGTTTTTCGTAATTTTTCAGTACTTTTTCCCGTGTCATTAAATAACTATTGGGAAAATCGAAAAATGACCTCTCTAAAGTACCATCTTGGTCCAATTTGCTAAAAGATAAGGTACTATATGTTGAAATCAAAGCACTCCTTCTGGTAGAAATTTTGTATACAGGATATAAAAAAAAAAATAAAAAAATAAAAAAAATAAATTAACACCATTGTAAAACCACTAGCTTCCTTGCTCCGCTCAGAATCTAAAATATATTAAATGTGATGTATTTGGAAAAAATCAGTTTAGCCGCATTTCCAAAACAAATATCAAACAATATCAATAATGTTGTTCGTGGTGATATTAATAAATAATTATAAAATGACTACAGAAATAGAGCTTAAGACAACAAGTTTCTGCTCAAAATTTTTTTTTTTCGTTTTAAACTATAAATCTATCATTGAAATCCAATTTAACAGTCAGTGGTTACAGTCACAAGGTGAGGCTTTACAATATACAGAAGAGCAAAACACGGGTTTACCTATACTTATACCTTGTAATTGTACGCTTTAAATAACATAAATTTTGTTTTTGATTATTCCAACATCGGCCATAATCTGCTTTGAAATTACCTTAATTCACAAACTATTTTCGGCAGACGGACCTCTGGCCAGTGATATGTTTAATTGTACACGTTTTATGTTTACGATGAGATCGCAATAATCTTTTGTAGTTAGGTATATGTAGTTTCTTTGTTATTTCCAACAGCGAATGTTACACGATTTGACGTTTTTCTTTTTATTAACCCACAGTTACGTCGGTAGTGAAAAACAAAAATATTATCAAAAAATACTATTCCAAGTACAAGTTTGAGAAAAAAAGACACACCATCTCCGACTAGGTTTGTGATGGAAAAAAAAATATTGTGTTATTTCGATCGGCCAATTATTATTATTATTATTCGTAATAAACGGTACACGAAACGATATCGCAACAGCCTATTTTAACTTAAATGATAATATCTAAAGTTCAAGATTGGTGGCTTTAAAACGATGGTTAGTACAAATTGTAGAGCTGTTTTTTTTCTACTTAACTAATTTTGTACTCGGAGTTTGGCAGAATGTGTTTGTTGGACATCACTCATTTTTCGTTGTTGTGTTATTATTCTTATAAATACGTATGTTTACTTTTTAAGTATAATTTACCTTTTGGTGATGACCAACAACGAGATGTAGCAGAATGCGTAGATGCTTTATTTATCGGTGGGAACATATTGCAGGTCTTAGATTGATGACAATGATGTGCTCATTTATTTTTTTTTTTTTACCTATAGGTACATCTGGAGTCAAGAGAAAAAATATCACCATGATATACTATTTGAAATACAAGTTTGGAAATCAATAAGATCATTATAAAGCAAGTAGGCATCCTATAATCCTTATAAATATAGGACACATCGTCAGGTATTTTTTTTATAACTATCTGTGGGTTGTGATAAAAAAAAAAGACAATAATGTGTTAAGCAGTGATGTTTCTCCGATAGTCCAATATTATTATTCGTAATAAGCAATAAACGAAATAATATTTAAACGAAATTTAACCGAAAATGAAAACAAATTAGGCGGTCTACCGTCAAGTATAATATTTTAGTTTTTTTAACAATAATAATAATCCCAACAAAAACACACCTGGTAGATGACTTGAAAAAAACTCCAAGTACAAAACAAAAGCAGCTCTAAAAGTGATGATATATTTTTAAAGCTAAGTCTTTGAACTTTAGATAACTTTGGGTATGTAGCTTGAGGACTCAATACCACCTGATTAGTAACACACACTATTTCAATGATAGTATACTACATTATGTATGTGCTCATCGTGCTACAGTATTTTGGAAAATTTTTTATTTAAGTCTAAGTTAAATTATTATATTACAACTTTTAATTAAATGATATCTAAAGTTCATATGCACTTAGCTATACAGTTATAGTACAATTTTTAAAGCTGTATTTTAATCATAGTTTGGCAGAATGAATTTTTTGGGATATCAAAAATTTTTTTTTTGTTGTGTTATTATTATAATATAATATATCTGTGTAATTTTTAAGTATAATCTACCTTTCAGTGATAATAATTAACAGCTGAATTCATTGGCTCTTTAGTTTCTTGGGGAACATAACGGTTTTGGAATGAAGTGTTTTTTTTGGTTGTCTTTTTAAAACTGTTTCATAAAATACGTTCCTTTTTTTTTTTGCTATTCAATGGTACCTACCTATGTGATAAAAAAATAAAATGTGTTGTTTCGATCGCTTAATATTATTCGTAAAAAACGGTAAACGAAATATTTAACAGAAAATTAAAACGAATCAAACGGTCAGCATAGAATTTTAGATTTTTAACGATAGTAATAATGTTGTTATACGAAATTACATTACCTTCCAAGTCTTCGCAACACTATTGATTGAGCTTATGTAGTCTTTGTTTAGAAAATATGTCTGTTCCGAACAACTAAAGAAAAATACGAAAACCACACAACTCGACAGTAATGAGTTCATCTTGACGATTATACTGTTTTTTGTTTTTTTTTCTCGAACTTTAAATTGGAAACGCTCTTGTCATACGTTTGTCCGTCGTGCGGAATATCATAATATTGTAACAACTGACATATTGTGTACGAAATGTTATGATTGAAGAAGCCGCCTGAAGGGTCTGAGCGATAATATTATTTGTTTAATACCGTCTGACGTATCATGTTATTATTACAGTGTATCACGACCACGGTTCAAGTGCAAAACGATGAGCTTCAATTTTTTTTTCTCATACACTGTAACGCAATGAATGTTTTGTTGGACGTGTTAGACAATAACATTATTCACTAGCGATTATCCACTTTAAATTACCGCATTATGTGTCATTCAAGTTTTATTCTGTAATCTGTTCAAACATGTTGTACGCTTTGGTTGGTAAATATAAAGTATACCCTTGTTAGCCAGTGTCGAATTTACAGGACACGATCTGGCCCCCAAATCTGGGCAAGTTAATGATATTTTTTAACTCAGTTATGTCGAGGTAATACGTTTTTTTAATCAATTGATTAAAAGTTAAATTAATAGACATTTTTATACATCAGTTAAGTTAAATTGAGTTATACTGTTAACATATCTTCGTTTAATTTATTAATTTAATCATAAAAAAAAAAAAATGCATTTATGAGGTATTATTTAATGAAATAAGTGACAATCACTTGAATAGTAATTGTCATTCATAGGTACCCGTATTACTCTATTCAAATAATCTATGATAATCATTATTGTACCAATAAAAAATAACTTATGAGTAATGAATATGTGTTGTGATTTCTAAATATAGTTCAACGCATCGACGTCTTCATACGGGTGACTAATCTTATCCCTATATTAATATTTATGAGTAACTTACTAATACAATATATAAGTTTTTATATTTAAACATAAATACGAAGTTCTTTGTAAATATTTATTTTTTTCTTATAATATTTTCTATATTCCGGGAACTTATAACAATAACTATAAACCGAAAATCCGTAATAAACAAAATATTTTTCTGGATAATGGGAATATTCAAAGTTGACTTAATTGGGAAAATAAAGACAAATATGAGTTGATTTCAAGTTAATTTAGAGACAAAATGAGTTAAGTTAAAGCTAATTAAAACACCGAACTAGGAAGTTAAGTCTGCAGTAAGTTTAAATTTACTAAAGTTTTAACTTAACTTCTAACTCATTAACTCGTTAATGCTCGGCCTTGGATCCGGGTGATATATCCATGATATAGAATTTATATTTCCCCCCCTCCAGAACCATTCTTATTTTATTTTTTACTTAATTTCAGTTCTGTTTTTTCGTTTCAGTGTTCACTCTTATATTCATAGGCGATTCGTACATTCTACCTCTTGTCTCTAGTTAGATATCGTTCCACTGCAGTTTACATTTTTACTTTCACAAAGTCGATATGTTCATTTTGTTTTTTTCACTTCAGAAACACTAAATGGTTATTTGACAGAGGTAAATGCCAACTGGATATCCATTTGGGTTTAGATGAACCGTTGGATGCAATGTGCCAGAAACCCCGAAGTATGGATATTATTTTGTGATACAAAAAATGAAACAAAGAATTTGAAAATCAAAAATCGTACCTAAGACAAGTATACCAAACGTCATGTCGAATATCATAACATGTTTCAAGCAAAACCATACCATATATTATAAGTGCACCTTGCTAATTATACAATCACAAAAACCTAGCAATTTGCAAAGCATTGCCGTGTCAGCTATAGTGTAATGTAATTAGAGTTCTGAATTTGAAATACTTCACTTAAAATGAACTTTTAGTTATAACGCATATTCGCGTTATTTGTATAAATTCAATATTTCGTGAAAATTAATTTATAATATTTTAAAACTACAAAAGTGACGAATAAAGGAACCCGGAGAAGAATGAACACTTTATTCGGATTCCTAAGCGGTTCCCGATAACTATTTTCAAATGGAAATTTACAAACTAAACTCCGAATTTGAACAGTCAAACAACAGAACCATGAGATTAAAAATTAAGAAATATAATATATAAAAACATAAACGAACAAATTTAAAAAAAATTAAATAAACAAATTGACAATATTTGTTATACGACTTTAATAAAATAACATATCAAAAAAAACAAAGAAACATTATGTTTATATTATTGTTATTGTTTATTTTATGTTTATATTCAAATAACCACAATTAAAAAACATCACGACCTACCTACCTGTTTTGGAACCAAAAAACACAAATTTCAACAATAGGTACCTTGCTATAATATGTAAACAGTCCCGAATCTGTATAAAACGGGAAGGGAAATTGAAAATACTTTTAAATTCGGATACACAGCTGAAGTATATGTAATAATTTCTAGTCTAGAGAACACATCTTATGGGAAAATGTATTAATATTTCGACAGAGCGGTGTTGTAGTGTCGGCGGTGTGGTATTCCATTAGCGAAATTTGGCGAATGTTTTGCTTTTTTTGCGTTTTTGTGTGTACCTATACCCTCAAACGACCTATCTATTTTTTAATCCCGTTATGATTTCAGTGTTCGTCAAACCTAAAAAATAAATAAGTATACGAGTAAAATCCATCGGCTATAGAAATTGTATTTTTTAAAGTGCTCCTTTGTGCTAACGCAGTCGTGTCGTAGTTATTAATAACAACACTCGAATAATGCAAACAACACTCAAGACTCGTTGGGCGCGTTAAGACGGTGCGATATTATTAAAAAAAAAAATAAAATAAACAGTATTACACATCGAAACCGCGTAGGCACCTATAATTATTGTTTTATTATAACCATCGAGTCGATTGTAACAATAACTAGTAATAATATCTTTTCAACAATAATATCATTATGATTTATTGTTTAGTGTACAAAAATATAAACGGTTTTCGGGGAGAGGTTAAAAACTGATATTTGTTTGCACACATTTCGACCGTAACTGCGGACTGGTCATTACAACAATATCGTAACAAGAAATTTAAAGAAAATAATATTATAATCGATCGGCCATCGCTCTATTATAATAATATTTTCTAAGTGTACATATATAGACGGAGTGAGTTGTGTTTTAAAGTACACGTTTGTCGTACAAGAATGAAATATAGCCTACCCAAATTTCGTCGAACACGATATTATTTCAATAATACTATTGATTTTCAAAATTAAATTTATGCGAAAAGAGGGTGAGATGGGTGATTGACCGGTGGCGAGTGTTTCGAGTGAGACTGAATTTGAATAATTCACCAAAGAAAATGTGTGCAATAATAATTATTATTTTCTAGTTTTTAAGAATATTCGTATAACACGGTGTGCAATAATATTGATGTAAATGAAAATATTATAAAACCATAATGCGTTTAATGTAAACATACACTATCCAATGTGATTTTTTAAGCATGCTCACCCTTATTTTTCCACAAATAGTACATTTATTCAAATTCTGATTTTAAGAATATATAATTATAGGTATAGGTACCTAAAACCCATATTTTTGAATTTATAATATATTTTCTACTGCCTATGGCGAAAAACTTATATTTTAGATTCTGAGTGAAACGATGAATGTATTGATTTTACAATGACGTGTGTTTTTTTTTTAATTTTTTTTTTTTATTTTTTTTGTATCTGTGTACACGATAAGTAGTCGAAATAATGCTTCGATTTTCGACTTCAGTATCTTGTTCGATTGGAAAGTGAATATCGTTGGTGCATTGGAGTAGTAGGAAATGGCCGGTACTGGTGACCCCCCGCTTCACCACCCCCCCCGCCTATACTGCGCCAGTCTGCGCCACCCCCGCCACCCTCCCCCCGCCTATACTGCGCCAGTCTGCGCCACCCCCGCCACCCTCCCCCCGCCTATACTGCGCCAGTCTGCGCCACCCCCGCCACCCTCCCCCCGCCTATACTGCGCCAGTCTGCGCCACCCCCGCCACCCTCCCCCCGCCTATACTGCACCAGTCTGCGCCACCCCCGCCACCCTCCCCCCGCCTATACTGCGCCAGTCTGCGCTCCCCCCACCACCCTCCCCCCGCCTATACTGCGCCAGTCTGCGCCAGGCTGCCCTACCCCCGCCACCCTCCCCCCGCCTATACTGCGCCAGTCTGCGCTCCCCCCGCCACCCTCCCCCCTCCACCCCCGCCCGTCCCGCACCGGAACTACGTAATCCGTCTCCTCCCGCGTCATCGCGGGCCCCCGCGTGCGAATCTCTCCCCCCACTCTCCCCACCAGTACTACGCGTCATCCCGCGCCACTCCGCCAATCCCCCGCCCGTCCCGCACCGGAACTACGTAATCCGTCTCCTCCCGCGTCATCGCGGGCCCCCGCGGTATATATATATATATATATATATATTGCGCCACTCCGCCAATCCCCCGCCCGTCCCGCACCGGAACTACGTAATCCGGCTCCTCCCGCGTCATCGCGGGCCCCCGCGGTATATATATATATATATAGTAAATACTCCGAACATGCTATAGTATATACCTATATATACCTATATATACTATATACCTTCTATGTACATACTACATACCTATATACTATGTACATACTACATACATACTATGTACATACTACATACATACTACATACATATACATACTATGTCTATACTATGCTCATTGTACATACTACCTACTATGTATATACTATGTAAATGTACATACTCCATACTATGACATTACTAGCTGTAGTATATACTTATATAATATATAATCTCTATCTATACTCTAAAACATAGTCTAGAATATTTAGATATTAGTATATATGAAAGAATCACACCTCCCACATATATTTCGCGCCGCAGCATCCGATATTCGCGTCCACCGCCAACAGCATATGTTTACAGATCAGACGGTCAGTGCAGCTCGTCTACAACTGTTGTACATTTGTATTACCTCGTTAAATCTGTTAAATAACTTTCTCTAGTACAAATATTTAAAACGTTTAACTGCGTGTTATGTGAAAAAGTGTACGTTCATAAGCGCGATCTGAATAGACATGCCAAAACCCACGGTGGATCTACTAATTCGTGCGGAATATGCCTCATGACGTTCACCCGACGGAACAATCTCAGTATACACGTTCAAAATCGCCACAGTAAGTACATTGAATATTATATTGTTGAACCAGAAAAAACCTCTTAGTTATTTATACCTAAGTATAAATACTAGTTTGTATCATTTTTCATAGCTCGAATAAGAGATAATAAATTAGTTTCATGTTTAGTAAAAAATTTGATTTTCACACAAACGATGTTTTTTTCCGACTCCACAATACTCAGGGTTATTAATTAAATTATTTTTAAAATAGAGATCGCTAAAAACACTCCAGAATTCCGTGACGCTGTACGAGTAGGTGGTGGTGCAATGGGTAAATAATTTTTTTCTCTTATAAATAATAATAACTATAATAATAATAATAATATATGTTAGGTCGCGCATCAGTCATAAAGTGGGCACCCTCCCCCGCTACACCGCATGCCCAGCCAGTTGTTCTGACTCCGACGGTCATCTCGACACGCCGCCGCCGCCGTCGTGAGGACATACCTACCCCCCAACCTCAAGACTCAACATCCACGTCCCGCACACCGGAGACGGTTTCACCGCCACCCGCACAGGTTATCGCCAACGAACCCGACGCAAGATCTCCCGTGACCGCCGCACAACCGCTTTCGCTTTCACCACCGCCAACCGGCGAATTTGTTGCCTATACAGAAAATACTCCGAAAAACATCAAACGGAAAAAGTCACGTATGCTAAGGGTTAATAGCCCGGGCTTTATTGAGATCGAGTCTTCGCTCGACCGTACTATCGTGTGGTATTTTAGGAAAAATATTGATAATGTGACAAGTTACCGAGCTTTCCTAAATTCAATAGAGTCCGAATTAATCGCGAAATTACGCGAGTGCGCGCGTATTAACCCGATCAAATACAACCTGAAATTAGAGGCCACATACGTCGTACCAAATTTACACGATTCAGCTCAAAACCGCGCATTTAAAACTTCAGCCCGTGAATTGTATGCGCACAGTAATGTCGAGGGTTTAGTCGATCGCGATTTCGCATCGCTCCAGGCCGAAGAGGATTGTTACGCCGGAAAGTATAGTGGATTCGCCTTATCGTGCATCGATGGACTGCTCTTGGGTGTGTACGAGTACACGCCTATGGGGGGATCGTCGTACTTACCGTTGCCGGAAAGTATTCTGAACCGGAAGGCCGTTATCAACCCACAAAATATCGACCGGCAATGTTTTAAGTGGGCGATCCTAGCCAAACACGTACTTCACGATCGCACAAGAGTAGGTGATAATTATACAAGGGAAGAAGGTCGATATGATTTTTCTACGTTATCGTCTCCTACCCCCGTGTCGGAGATAAAGGTATTTGAAAAGTCGAATCCCGACACGAGCGTTAATGTATACGGCGTAAGAAAATGCGTGAAAAATAAAAATAACAAAAAATCGAGCACACAATCTGTCGCGTACCCTCTGCGCATCGCGGCTGAGGAAAAAGCAGATCATTTCGACCTGCTGTTGATTAGTGGGAAAGACGACATGAATCATTATGGGTTTATATCGAATTTTTCACGACTAGCCAGCCCACAAAAAAATAATCACCAGCATGAATTATTTTACTGTAAGCGATGTTTCACCAGTTTCGAGGACCGTCCATTAAAATATAAATTACACGGCGAGCAGGCGTTGGTGAAACATCGTTTACTGTGCGGCTCACACAAACCGGTTGTTCCTCTTATACCGAAAGAGGGGGATACGCTTAAATTCGAGGCGTGGTGTAAGACGGAACGACTCCCATTCGTAGTGTATGCCGACTTCGAAGCCTTACTACTGAAAACGGGGCGAAAACAAGGTGATAATACCACGGCGATGCACACGCACCACCCCATGAGTTACGGTTACCTCGTCGTCGCAGCGGAGGGGGTACCAATAGATTTATTTGACCAGTTCGACATTCCGAGTGCTCCCGTCATTTTCCGAGGCTCGGCGACCGAAGACGATGTGGCCAAGCGTTTTGTCCACGACGTCCTCGATGTGACCGCCAAGATAGGCAGATTGTATAAGGAAGTTAACGTGGCGATTTCTATGAGTGTTGTGGATTGCCGCGTGCACGACGCCAAGGTGATGTGCGACTTGTGCAGCTGCACGTTTAGCGAACGCAATTGTAAAACTGCACACCACGACCACTTGTCGGGGCGTTTTTTAAAAACGTTATGTAACACGTGCAACCTTAAGTTGAAAACACCAAAATTCGTCCCGTGCTTCCTGCATAATCTCTCGAACTACGACGCACATTTCATCGTAACGAATTTAGCGAACGACGACAATAATCGAATATCGGTAATCGCTAACACTGAGGAGAAGTATATTTCATTTTCGAAGTATATTAACAACTCGTTCTCCGTCAGGTTTGTAGACACGTGTCGGTTCATGGCGTCGAGCTTGGCAGGCTTGGCGGAGAACCTCTCCTCCGCGAACTTTGATAAGTTTCGCGAAGTCGCGAAAGTGTTCGCCCCGTCGGAGATGCAGTTGGTCACGCGGAAAGGCGTATATCCGTATGAATATACAGATTCGTGGGATAAATTGGACGCTACGTCGCTGCCGGATAAGTTCCAATTCTACAGCGCGTTGACGGAGACGCACGTGAGCGACGAGGATTATAGTCACGCGACAAGGGTCTGGAATCATTTCGGCTGCACCTCACTCGGGACTTACAGCGATTTATACCTTAAAGTCGACGTGTTGTTAAGTGCCGACGTGTTCGAGAATTTCAGGGATATATGTATGACCACATATCACCTCGACCCCGCACAATACTACACGCTACCCGGTTTCAGCTTTGACTGTATGCTGAAACTTACGAAAGTTGAGCTTTTTCTTTTGAACGATTTTGAGAAAATTTTATTCCTAGAGTCAGGCGTGAGAGGTGGGCTAGTGCAGGCCAGTAAACGTCACGCGCGCGCCAACAATCCAGAAACGCCTGGATACAATGCTGAAGAACCTAACACGTCGCTCATATACCTAGATGGTGATTATCAAAATATAAATTATATACTTGTTTGTATATTAACTAATTTTTCCTCCTTCTAGCAAACAATTTGAACGGGTACGCGATGTGTAAATATATGCCGATTAGCGATTTCACGTGGTATCCGGGAAATCCCGAAGTCGCCCTCGACCAGCTACAGTGGATGCGCGAGACTGATGACATTGGCAGATTTTACGAAGTCGACATTTCGTATCCTCAACATCTGCACGACGCCCACAATGATATGCCGTTCTTGCCTCACGCTAGCATACCACGCGGGTCCACCGTGCGAAAGTTGATGGTCACATTTATGCGGAAAGAACGATACGTCGTTCATTATATGAATTTAAAGCAGGCCATGGCCCACGGCGTTGTAGTAGAAAAAGTGATTATTAATATTATTATTATTATTTTATGTATACGGTTCTTATAACTTTTTTCGTACATTTCAGACGCACCGAGTATTGGAATTCCGACAATCCCCATGGATGGCACCGTACATAAACCTCAACACCGAATTACGCAAGCGGGCAACCAACATATTCGAAGAAAAGTTTTTCAAAGATTTAAACAATTCGGTGTTCGGTATGATATTTATAAATTAAAAAAATTATATTTTTTTCAAAAACTTTTTCAAAAACTTTTTCTGAGCTTTATTCCGCTTAAGTTTTACTTCATGATAACTGTGTGTACGCAGGGAAAACTATTGAGAATATGAGACTTAGATTCAACTTAGAGCTTGTATCGTGCCCGCGCAGAATGCGGAAACTCATAAATCGACCGACGTTCAAATACTGTACGACGTATAATGAAAATCTCTCGGTGGTCACCCAACATGGTAAAGAAGTGGATTTCTGTAAGCCTATCTACATAGGATTCTCCGTGCTAGAACTCAGCAAAGTTGTAATGTACGGTTTTCATTATGACGTCATGAAACGTCATTACGGCGATAAGATCGAGCTGCTTTATACCGATACCGGTACGTCTATATAAAACTCGTGCATGGCTATGCAGTTTTTATAATTATTATTATTACATGTTTCAGATTCACTATTCTACCGCGTGACGACAAACGATTTCCACACCGATCTTATTGAAAATCCAAATCTAATGCGGTTTATGGACACCTCGAATTTTCCACACGACCACAAGTGTTATACGGTTGCTCGGAAGCGTATTCCAGGATTTTTTAAATTCGAGTGTAGCTCCAGGACGGTGTACGAATTCGTTGCTTTGCGGGCTAAATCCTATGCCTATGACGTGGAACAGAACGTCGAAATTCGCGCGAAGGGTGTTATGAGGCACGTGATTCGTAATCACCTCACTTTCGCCGAGCATAAGCGGTGCTTATTCGCTGACGTGGACGACGATGCAGAATCCGACGAGTGCGACGACGAATTCGACGCAAATATGGGGAAAATGATCGCTGCCGATTCCGCACTTAAAGCTGTCGCTCAAATTCATCGGAACGCCTCAACCGGCTCAACCAACTCGTCGACGACGGTTGCGGCGGCGGCGCCGGTCACGCATCCATCCCACGTCTACAGCTACATGCCATTCACGCCGTATAGGGAAAATGTGTCTATACGCTCGTTTAAGCACGAGTTACGCACAATTAGATCTATGAAACTCGTCTTGAACAGGGCAGACGACAAGCGTTACGTGTTACCGGACAACATTTCGACGTACGCACACGGTCATCACCGCATAAATTATTAAATTGTTATTATTGTTATTATTATTATTGTTATTGTTATTATTGTTCAACGATCTCATATCTGTATATATATATATATATATATATATATATATATATATATTTATAATCTATTAAAATATCTGTATAAATTGTATAATCGTGAAATGTGACTGCTGCATACTTATATAACCTGATAAAATATATGTATATGTATAATGTATAATCGTGAAATACAACCGTTGTATATAAAAATATGAGAGTGTACGATGCTAAAATATTATATTAACTACGTTTTGTATTTAATCTCGTGTTTTTAAATTATTATTTTAGTATCGCAACCTAATCTTCTCATCCTTATCATATTTTACCTCATCTTTATCTTCTTATCCTTATCTAATCGAATACTCACCCTTATCTTACCGAGGTCTCGACAACATTATTATTATTATTATTATTTTTAAAAAACCCCCGCCCATTCGCGCTGTGATAAGAAGCGGACGAGGATATTTGATATGCCTACATACGGTGTTCTGATGGCTAGCACTTCTCCGGCAGTCAGTCAGTCAGTCTTTGGAGTTAAACATTTACTCGCGTGTAATAACGATATCTTAATATGTCGTCAGAGGAGTGCTCGTTTTTCGAATATGGGCTCAAGTCTCGATGCGCGGTAAGTTTTATAATTTTGTACCACTCTACTTAAATTAAAATTTATTTTATTTAATTTTTAGTCACCTGATTTATTCGCGGAATCGTACGATCCGCGCGATTACAAGTTACGAGTAGTCGAAGTCGAAAAACCCTCCGTCAATTATTCACTCGGGTTTCATGCAGGACAGAGATTTCCGTGGAAATCACCAGACTCGAGCTCGCCGTTACCTATGCTACACCTGATATCTGGACAATTCCCCGACAGCGGAGAAATATTAAGTGAGTCTTAATATATATATATATTATATATATACTAGAATATATATAAATAAATTTGCTACTTTTAGTATTTTTTAAAAAATAAAAACTAATTCGCGCGTCATATTTTCAGACGATGCACAGTCTCTTCATATGAGCGGCTTTCATTTGTGGGATGACAGTCCCCCTAAAGAAACTCTTCATTGGAAAAAAATACTGTTGTTGAAATTTGACACGGATATGTATATTTATAATCCTATAATGTATTTTAAATAAAATTTTATTATATACTACATTTTTGTTTCTGAATTTATTTTTTTTTTTTACCGTAGAATGCAAATTATTATTATTATACATGAGTATAAAAATATTGACTATTAAATAATAAAACCTTATAAATATGAAATATTTCAACATCTCATATTTGTGAGAATAAACCTTATAATAATTATTTAATAATATATTTTTTAAAACCAATACTTCAAAATTTAATGATGAAATGTAATATAGATAATTGTGTAAAATAAAATATTATTATTATTTAGAACATTGAAGTCTAGTTTTTTTTTTTTTTTCAAATCTAAATAGTAGATTTTTACCGTAGAATACAAATTATTATTATTATTATTATTATGTCGTAAAGACATCAAGTATAATATATTATTATTTAGAATACTGAAGTCTATTTATTTATTTATTTATTTATTTTTTTATTTTTTTTTTTTCAAATCTAAATAGTAGATTTTTACCGTAGAATGCAAATTATTATTATTATACATGAGTATAAAAATATTGACTATTAAATAATAAAACCTTATAAATATAAAATATTTCACCATCTCATATTTGTGAGAATAAACCTTATAATAATTATTTAATAATATATTTTTTAAAACCAATACTCATCTCGGACAAAATAATTATATAATTTGTTAAATGTATATAATTATATTATACGTTCCTTAAAATTAAAGGATCTAGATAAAATGAGAATAACGACGTATTTTTAATTTTTTTTATTAAAATATTTTAACAGTCAATAATTGTCAATAATTATTATAATGTTAATAGGAGAGTCATAATAGATTTCTTTCAAAACCTATCACGAAACTCCTATTCTTCATCCCCCTAAAAACTAGGCTTAACCTCACCCCTTCGCCCTGGTTATAACTTTCGCATGCTTCAGCGGTCATCATAATCGCCTTCGGAAGGAACACGTTCAACGTCCCTCCGGTCGAGTTGTCGTGTAGTACGCATGACACCGCAAAGCCAAATTTGGTATCAATATTTTTCATGAAGTTGACCGGATACAACACGTCCTTTTGTAGATCACCGATTGAAATATTTTCGTTACAGCACTGCGCGTTCAATGCCTCCAACAAAATCGTATTCGTATCCATATTAAACTGAGGACAGAAAAAAAAAAAAAAATGTTAGAAAAAAAGTAAATTATTTAAACGCGAGCGCATAGCAAGAATAGATATTTTTATTATTTTTAATAAAAATGAAATTAACTCACTTTATTCGATGTTTCTGCTACGGATTGTAGAGCTGATGAAGTGAACGAGTAGAACTTAGTAGTGACGAGATGAACTAAAACAAAAATATCGGGTATTAATATCGAATTAAAATTATGTCTGATACAATTGTATATATATATAATTATTTAATTAATTAATTAAATTAACTCACTTTTATTTTTAGTAGATCGTGTAGTTCTTGACGTAGTTGAATGTGGATACTGGATAGGGAATGAATTCAGAACTGAAAAATATAACTCCTGTTAATTTTGTATAATATAATATAAATTATTATTATTGTAGGATAAATTAAATATGTAACTCACTTTATATAACGATGGCGATGATAAGTCAGTGCTGGAGCTGATGGCGTTGTAGACGTTTGGGTTGATGAAGACGACTAAATTATAATTAACTGCAATTCAATTAACTTAATGACAGCAGAGACACTAACGCCCCACCACCCCCCTTGATCACGCTATATTCGACCGCAACGATCCTTGTACGCGCGAAAATGACCATGCAACAGCATACATTGACGGGCGGGCGGAACAATGACACCACATTGTTCGATAAACATTATTAGCGATACAGCAATAATTGCGGAGATTGCATACTTTTTTTCACCATTCCTTGTCAGGTGCATGTGGAATCAAATATCATACATACCGTCTCGCCGCATATATATATATATATATTGATAATATTTTGCTCATGAATGATGATCGAACAGTGTGATATGCATTGTTTATGCATTACCACACGATTATGGCGCTATACTACGTGTATGTAGATGTAGACATTTTCGTTCAAATAAAAAACTCTACGACTGTATAATATAATATGTATGCGTTTATTCATTAAAATATAATATTATTTATAAAAATTATACATTATAATATTATATAAAATCAAAATAATATTATTCTACGGATTATTTATAAGCCATCTGCGCAATGCATAAACTCTATGATATGTACATTGTGTGCGATCTAAGTCTATATGATATATACAGCACGGAGATCCTAGGTCATAGTTTTCAACACGATTGCGAGAATAGTTAACATTATAATTAATAGAATTATTATTATTATTATTATTATTAGTATTATCATCGTAATAATTATCGCCAGTAGATGACGTATATAGTCGATCCAGCTGATTTAATCGTGGGCAGTCGTGATCCACGCCCAAATCGATGACATCAACTTCTGGAATGTAATCTTGTATAATCTTACGTTTTTCCGCACCCTTGACGTAGACACACTTGAAATGAAGTGATTTTAAAATTCTTTCGATTTGCGAATATTCCACGTCACCGCAACCCAATGAAAGCTGATGATAGTTACGGTACAGCCACATATTCACCGCTTTACTTTTAGCCGTACACGGTGTTTCATTGTGTTTGAAAATATAATGTTGACTACCGCGGTTGTTTACATCGAGAATTGACATTTCTTTTATTAGATATTTAAAATTCAAACCCAGTATGCATTGAATATCTATGATAGCCGACGCCATAATCCACTTTGTCGAGAGTTAATACAAATAAATATATATATATATATATATATATAAATATATAACGCGTCTTACGGGTAACAGGTTAGGGATCTGACTGTTTCGAATTCTCTGCGAATCTGTCCTCGAGTATAATTATTCTGGCATACGCATGAGCCAACGAGACTTTTAAATCTTTAATGTATTTATTTACATCCTCTATGGACTCAATGCACGATTCGATTTTATTATTATTTTCTAAAAAATATTTATCGGTCACCTGCACTGACCCGATTGTTCCTAGTCGAATTATTTGCATTTCGTTCGCTAGGACTCGATCGTTGAACGACGATATTTTTTCATCGTTGGCCGTGATTAAGTTAGTGTGCAAACCTAATTCATTGGTAAACTTTTCATCAAGCTTCACGATTTTCGAATAATTTATTCCGATCAAATTAACGTGGGAGTCGAGTTGTTCGGCAAATTTTTCTTTCATGTCGGTGATTGTCTTATTCAATTGACTAGACGGCGACCCCCCGAACACATCCATGACGTCGTGATAACTGCACTTATATTACAAGATCGGACTTATTTATCCAACTATTATGCTCGTCGGTAAAACCTAACCAGCGTACGAACACCCGCTGGCCTTTGGTGCGAATTATTTTTTCCACTAGATAATCATTAGGTAGTTTCGTTTTACGTATTTCTTCGGCGTAGAAACCACCGGCTATCGGGTTACCCTCGTAATCCTGCAATATGAATGTACACGGCGTAGTCTTGTTCACTTTAATAATTGTAAATATTTCGGTAGACCAATTGGGTAAATATCCTTTTGTGAAAACACCCTTGTATACGCTTACGCGGACTTTGTCGCCAACGCTAAACTTGATTTTTGTGGTTTTCGCGGCGACGTATTTTAATTTTACCCGTGACGGGTCGTCGTTGGCTTGCTGCGGTGTCACACCAATCGTTGTATGCATCGTTTTATTATAGTCATTAATTAACTCTGGTAAAATAGACGTCCAATTATGAGAACCTATGCTAGTGAATTGTCTAAACATTCGAGCTTTTAAAGTCCTGTTAAATCTCTCAATTATCGAAGCCTTTAAAGCACTGAAAGTGCTATACATTTTTATATTATACTTCTTTACTAAAGCCTCGAAATTTTTATTGTAAAACTCGCGCCCCCGATCGACGTGTAATAGGTTAGGTCTATTCTGTGCAAAAATGCCACTAGCGGCCTTTGACACTTCGTCACCGCGTTTAGTCCTCAATGCGATTCCGTAAGCGTATTTTGTATAACAATCAATCACAGTCAATATATAATTATAATTTTTATTGACGTTGCAGTATTGGCGCATGTCGACGAGGTCCGCTTGGTATAAATCGTTTTTACCGTAAACAATGACGCGACGTCGTGGGTATGTCCTTCTTGCTGCTCCGTGAAGTTCAGCCGCGATCTCGTGCTTAGACATTCGGAATTTTTTTCAATATACCAGCCTCGACCAATTCTCCACAAATCGAGATTATCTCGTTACGAACACCTGTATTGCCAGCCGCGAGAGACGAATATAATAACCGTAATCGATCTACCAGCTCATTAGGATCGTTCCAATATACAATATTATGTTTCTGTAATCGTATATTTATACCACTACCAGACTTTTTGACATCGAACAGTTTTGAAATTATTTTCAAGTATTTTGCCCCTACGGACATGCGGATACGCCCACCGTCTGCTGTCAAGTGCGCCGATGTCTGAATTAGAATACGTTTATATGCACTTAAATCATCACGTGTATATTTTTCAGCCGCCGGGGACTTGGCGAATAATAACTCGATAAGTCCGGGCGTTATGGGATGAAAACTAGCATCATCATCATCTTCGATGTGTATTTCATTATCGATAAATTTAATTTCCTTGTTACCCAAAACATATTCGCCACTTTTTGATTTTTTAGGTGCGTATAATTTATCTAATTCAGCTTTCGGCCACTGTCTGTATAGTTCATTCAAATCGTATTGTGTAGTAAGCGCCGGCGATGATGATAATGATGATGATGATGAGGCGGTGGAATGTTTTTTATAGACATCTGATAACGGTCGTTGTGTTGTCTGACGCGGCGCCGAAGGTGTTGACGACGGTGTGCTGGTCGGCGACGCGGGTGGGCGCAGCGGCTGGTGTACCGATGAATGCGTGCGGGTGGTATCGATATTGTCGCGTATTTTATTAAGAGGATCGATAATAGAACTGAGTGTATTATTTACTAATGATTCGGTTTCAAAACGACCGGTTTTTAGCGCAGAATATTTTTTTTTTATATTCATTCTAGCTTGAATAATATCCGCCAATAACGACGGTGACGGTGACACCGACGGCAAGTTGTTTACCTTTCCCATGATACCAGGCAAATGTGTTATATTTCGACGTACCGGCTTATTATATAATAACATATGTGTCGAATCCGTGTCTATAGCGACCGTTATCGCGCTCGTGTTCACTGCTGATGACAATAAATTCAAATCTACCGCCACGCCAACACGTCATGCAAAAATCTTTAAACTCGTTGTATTTGATATCACCCGAGCAATGTTCGTCGTAAACGTGTTTCAGATTCATTTCGTCCTGCTTGAATAAAACTATGAAATTAGCATTGTCTCGAATCAATTGTTTCGGTACACGCGAATACGACTGTGCTAAATAACACACGTCTATTAGATTATGCCTGGATCTCGAAAAGTACGATCGAATGATATTGTGGTTCTCTGTTATCACGTCGTCGAATAGGAAAACTGAATTCGGTAGAGCTTTCTCGGGCGGTATCACCGTCTCGTTGTCGTTGAATTTGAATAAACTTATACCCGGAACGTCGGATAAAATCTTATCTAGCATGATGTATTTGGCTTGATGTAGTGTTTTCGAATAAATGTATACATTTTCGAATTTAATCCCGTTCTCGTGAACCAATAACGTGAAAATAAGATTCGTTTTCCCGCACCCCGACGGTCCTACAATCAACGCCCTGATAGAATTCGGAAACAGCGGTCCATGCTTAGGTGGAAGCTTCTCGATATCACTATTGCATAGCGATAACCGATCGATATTATCGACTTTGAGTTTTATGTCTTGCCCGATGTATCGCATTGTATAAATACGTGTGTCGATCGCGCGATGCGCTCATACAATGTTAGCACGTCGAAAGGTCAAGTCCAATAGCGGTGCGGGTCTGTTGAACACTGTAATAAATAGTTTACCATTCGAATTACATTTACCAGGTTATCAGTACTGCGGACCTGGGACTAATTTAGGAAAAAGACTCGCTCTCGGGCAGACCGGTATAAACGGCCTAGATTCCGCGTGTAGAGACCACGATATA